CATCTCAGGACCATTTGCGGACAATACCTGCTGACCACTCACTCCACCACAAGGTCCTTTGTCTCCCTCAAACTGGGTTCCCTTTCCCAATTACACATTTTTATCTTCTAGCCCCATTGCTAATAATCTGCATAATTATTCATTTGCCTTTCTCACCCACTATACACTACAAGCACCCATCAGAGGGTTACTAAAATTCAAATTCAAAGTATGTACTCAAATATCTGATAAATGAATAAGTAAACATGCATACACACCCATGGTGGATATGAAGAACTGGGCCCTCTCTTCCATCCCTATTGTACCTTTCCTCCTCTCATGAAACAGGAATAACAAATAAGATCAAATAGGATCAATGAAATGAATTAATATCTGTGAGAACATGTTTTAAGTTGTAAATACAGAAGCTATAAATCTGAGTCACAGCTACTGATCACACGGCAATTAGTTGCAGATTTCCTTCCTGTTCACGTGGAGCTGGCTCTCCTGCCCTTCCCTTCTCCCCCACCATCTTGAACTCTCACATGGGTAATCTCCACTCCCATCAAGAGTGTCTGATTGAGGAGTTACACAACCAGAGTCCTCAAGTGAACAGGCAAGGATCACATTGGCGGGGGGGTGGATCATTGGAGAAACAGAAGGCAAAAGGACATGCCAGGAGAAGCCCTCTTAGAAGCCCTGACGAATTCATTCACTGATGTGTCTCCTTGTACCAAGCACTGCATAAACACTGAGATTACAACTACCCACAGAAAAACCCAACCCAGTCTTCAAAATCACAACTTAAACAAAGTCCATGTCCCAGCATCGAACAGTGAGCTAGGAGGCAGCTACAAGAAAGCAGAGAATCCGCTAGAGATACAGATCTTCTTTAGACCAGCTAGAGACATTTAAAGTGTTTACAAGAGAAACAAAACCCATCTATTTAAAGATCCAGATCCCACAGAGGCATACATGCAACAAAGGAAATAAAACCTGAAATCTTTGGGCACTATTGGCAGGGTGGCAGGGAAGTAGTAAGGAAAATAGTATAGAGACTCTCAAAGAAAAAATAAAGACAAATCCAAAAAATGTATGATCCCCATTTCTGGATATGTTTCGCAAAAATGTCAGGATCACTTAAAGACAATTACACATCCACACTCACTGTAGCAATATTCACAAAAGCCAGAACACAGAAGTAACCTATAAGATAAATGAATGAATGAAAAAAAGTGTCAACAATGGAATACTATGCAGCCTTAGAAAAAAATCCTGTCACACACAACACACAGATGAACTAGGAAGACGTTAGGCTAAGTGAAGTAAGCCAATCATTTAAAAAAAAAAAAAAAGTCCATTCCCATGAAGTATTTAAAGGTTTTAAGGTTTACTTACTTTTATTGGAAAGGCAGATCTATAGAGAGAAGGAGAAACAGAGAAAGATCTTCCATCGGCTGGTTCGCTCCCCCAAAGTGGCCACAATGGCTGGAAATTGAGCTAATCTGAAGCCAGGAGCTTCTTTAGGGTCTCCCATATTAGTGTGGAGTCCCAAGGCTTTGGGCCATCCTCTACTGCTTTCCCGGGCCACAAGCAGGGAGCAGAATGGGAAGTGGAATAGCCAGGACTTGAACTGGTACCATACAGAATCCCAGTGTGTTCAAGGCAAGGATTTAACCACTGAGCCATTGTGCTAGGCCTAAAATAGTCTACCTCAAAGAAACACAGGCAGAAAAATGATCACCGAAAGCTAGGGGTAGTGAAAAAATGTGTCTCATTGGGGAACATTTCAGTTCTAGAGACACAGTAGTGAGACTATGCTTATTACTGCTGGACTGTACCCTTTAAATAGCTAAACCTCACGTTACACATTTTTAGCCATCATAAAAATGTCTCAAAAGCATTTATTAACAGAAAAAAATGTCCAAGATAGATATCATAAATTGAGAAAGAATACCAAAAAGGAGAGAAATCAACCAAGTACAAACTCATGGTTCAGTCTGCACTGGGAGGCAGGGCTGGACAGGAAGAGGAATACAGACACCTGCTGCAGCCTCAGCTCAAAGAGGACTGAGAATATCCCAGCAGACCCCTTTGCTCTCTAAGAAACAGAGAGGACAGGCCTACAACCCAAGAGTGCCATGAGTGCGTGTGTACTTGTTTGTTCATCCATCAGATACTTACGAGTACTTATTCTGTGCTGTGCTAACACTCCAAATGCCTTCTACAGAGTGCTGACAGTGTACAGTAGACAAGGCAGATGCAGGGATAACAATGTATGCTATGAGAAATGAAAGAAGCAAGATGATGAGAGAGTTCGTGATTGCTCCCTGGGAAACAAGCCCCTCACTGCCCACCAACTATTTGGTGTGATGCCCCAGAGAGGTCAGGGAGAGATGTATATCTGAGGCACTTAGCAAGGCGGGACACCTCTATGACAAGTGTGTCTCTGTGACCCTGATTGGAACTTCTTTTCTCTGAGGCCTGCTCACTGCACTGGCCCAGTTGTGAAATTCATATTTGCTGGAGCCAGCGGAGCACCCAGCAACCACAGCTTGCAGAGTCCAACCCCATGCTAGCCTGGCCCCGTTCAACATAAAAGGACAAAGTCAAGAATAGTTCTTTACACAGAAATCCTATGCCCTACTTCTTGACAGCTGTAATTACAGCCAAAACAGCTTCTGAAAGGAAAATAGCCGTCTGGACCTAGCAGTGGATTGTGGGGCTTGGGGTAAAACATACAATCAGAGCTCTTGCTATTACTGGTGCCCAGTCTAAACAAGAGACTGGACAGCCAGACCAAACAACTTTGCTGGCCAATTAATTTCGCCCTCCAATTTAATGAGCTGTTCATTAAGCACTGGGAGAGGCTCACAGGAAGGGAACTGCAGCAAGAGGCTCATGAGCCCCAAGGGCTGGCAGCCCCAAATGCCTCCAGCCCAGCCCTAAGCTCAGCCTTCCCAGCATCCAGGGCCATTTTTATGCACCTGTGTTCACTAAAGAGGTTGTGTTTCTGCCCCTAGCTCTCTGACTGGGGACAGTTCCTGTCCTACTTCTTTGGTTTTCTAACCAAGGTCATGACTCATGAGCATCGCCAAGAACTTTCTTCAGTGTAACAATGCAGGTGGCACAGTCCTGTGTACAAATCTCAACTCCGCCAATTAACAGACTTGTCCTTGAATTATTTGACCTACCCATGGTTCTGTATCCTTATCTATAACATGCAATAATATTCCTACCTCAACTAGAGTAGCTGTGAATAATACATAAGAAGATATCATGACAATATTAAAAAGCCCGACAGAGCATCTGACATGTAAATAAATATTAGTAGTCTTAGCAATTATCACTTCCACAATAATGATATCAGCAACAACACATTCCCTGTCCCTTAGGCAAAAATGAACAAAAGAGCAACTCTTTGGTGGAAACCCCAAAGACAAACCAACTCCAGGTCTAGTTTGACTATCATAGCAGCAATAATGCCAAACCTGCAGCCAAACAGGTGATAAAATGTCCATGTCCTCAGGACACCAGGTGGAAAACACATTCAGTTCACATGCCTGCCCCTTTCTAGGTCCACGTGACGCCTTCGTGCCCCTTCCTGCCTGATCTCACTTTCATCTAGAGAAGCAAGGCAACCGGATTCCTACTTCACAGCTTGCTAATGGCACTGAAATAACTCATGTGAATGGGCTTTGGAGGATGGCATTGTGGCACAGTGTGTTAAGCCACCACTTGTGGGGCCAGCATCCCATAACAGAGGGCCAGTTCAAGTCCTGGCTGCTTTACTTCCATTCCAGCTGCCCATTCATGTGCCTGGGAAAGCAGTAAAAGATGGCTCCAATATGGAGCGTGGCTTTGGCCTAGCCTACACCTGACCATCAGATGGGAGACTGATCAACTCCTCTCTTTCTCTCTCTCTTCACTCTGCCTTTCAAATAAATAAATAACTATTTCTAAAAGAAAGTTGCTTTTAAGCAACTTGTTGCTATGTCTACGAAGTATGATATGATTGCATTTAATGGTAGCCTCAATAAATTCAATTTTAAAAAATTTTGAAAGATTGGGAAGATCAAGTCAGTGAAAAGATTATTTTATTAGGCTGCTCTAAGAAACAGCAGCACACCTACTAATTTTCTCCCTAATCTTTCTGTTCCAGAGCTAAGGTTTCTGTCGATCACGTGGACTGGCTGAAAGGAAAACTAACCATGCAAAATGAGCCTCCCACCCTGCGTTGCACATTTTCCACATAGGTGCATAGTTACCCTAAAAGACAATTGCCCAAACCAGGCCACTTCTGAGGATGATTAATCCAGTCAGCCCCAGCACCAATTCTCACTTAAAGAAAATAAATACAATTAGAATACATCTGGTCAATCTCAGATCTGTCTTTGAAATGTACAGGTCTAGGGTAATTTCTTCTGCTCCAATGCAGAACACATGGACTAATTCCTTGACAGCAATCAGAACACAGTTTAATTTTTATTCTGCTTCTGCTCTGTGTGCTTGAGTAGAAAGCAACAGGCTGGAATGTTTATCAAGCTCCCTGAGAGTACACGAATGAGCAGAAGGAAAGGCACATACTCTCAGAGCCTACAACAGGTGACAAGAAAATTTTGCTGAAATCCCACATCTAATCCTAAAAATCCAACTAAGTCTTGTATTCTAAACCACAACAAATTGTACTTTAAAAATGTAACCAATGACCACTGATTGCTAAGGCTGCACTGTAAAATCTTTGAATAAAAATGACATTTCACTATTCTCTTTCACTATGTGGCCACTCATCTCAGAGCCTCAAAGCTAACAGCTGCCTCTGGTGGATGCTATCCCTCTAGCCATCAAGTTCATTTTAATCTTGTCTTTTTATCAAGCTCTACCACCCCACTCAGTAGACCTTCCGGATTATGTAGGGAGAAGGAGTATACCCATTCATTTGGCACCTCCAACACCACATCAAAGGGCCAGCAGCTAAAGTGCTGAATCCCAGTCCACACAACTTGCCTCCAGCCACTCACCCGTATCCGGCGCATGGCAGCCACGATCTCCACCCTGCTGTTGGGCCTTGGCACATCCAGACTTCCTACATACTGTGGGGGGAAAAAAACACAAATACTCAGTGAGAAGAGGTTGGCAAATGTCCCTAATCACAGAATGCTGGCAGTGCAGGGACCTATGGGGGATCACCTAGTCTGTCTGTGCATTACATAGGAGAGGAAGTTATGAAGGCAGAAAGATGCTCTCTGAAACAGGTGTCATGGTGCAGCCCATAAAGCCGCCATCTCAAACACTGGCATCCCAGATGAACACCAGTTCAAGTCCCAGTTGCTCCAGTTCCAATCCAGCATCCTGCTAGTGCTCCTGTAAGCAGGGAGACAGGAGATGTGGATGGAGTTCCGGGTGCCTGTTGCAGCTGTTACAGCCATTTGACAAGCTCCAGAGGTGTTATCATTATAAGTTTATAATAAGCAGCTGACTCCTCTTCACCTTTCTCTTACTCAGAGATGCAGCAGAGCCTGGTACTTAGCCAAGCACCCTTCTAAATTTGAAAGTTCCCAGGAGGAAGCCTTCCCCCATTCATATCTCTTCAGCAAAGTGCTCTGCCTTTCTCTGTCTCAGAATGTTAGTATCTGTAAAGTGGCATTTCACTGATGATAAAATCTCTTACACTAAAGTGCTTGGCAAATATTAATGTGCTCAAAGATATACATACTACTATTATTGTTATTAATTGAACCTCACTGAGATAGCACCGATGTTTTGGAGAACACACCATTTGAGTAAATTTCTGATTACAATAAAGCAGTGGACCAATATTCTGTTTAGTTTAAAAAAATAAATAAATACAAGGTTAGGGACCTGCTGCACTAGCCTAGCAGCTAAAGTCCTCACCTTGCACTCACCAGGATCCCATATGGGTGCAGATTCTAATCCCGGTGGCCCCGCCTCACATCCAGCTTCCTGCTTTGTAGCCTGGGAAAGCAACCAAGGATGGCCCAAAGCCTTGGGACCATGCACCCATGTGTGAGACCTGGAAGAAGCTCCTGGTTTCAGATAGGCTCAGTTCCAGCCATTGTGGCTACTTGGAGAGCGTATCATTGCACAGAAGATCTTCCTCTCTGTGGTTAGGGACCGGCACTGTTACGGCAGGATAGGATAAGCCCGTGTAAACAGTGCCAGCATCCCACATGGGTGCTTCACCCCACACCAGTGGTTTCTCCAGTTAGTAAGAATTTTCTCAGTCACAGCACATCATTTCAAATTCCAGAGCTTCTTTTTTTTTAAATTTATTTATTTATTTATTTATTTATTTATTCATTCATTCATTTATTTATTTATTAATGGGATCTCAGCACATTCAAGGAGAGGACTTTAGCCGCTAGGTTACAACACCAGGCCACAATTCCAGAGCTTCCACACATGGCCTCCCTAAGCACATAACTCCCCTTGGCTACCCACCTTTCCAAATCTCCCAAAGCTTGTGCCTCTACAGATCCTTCATAATCTCCACCTCCCCTTGTAGAGTCCCGGGGGAAGGACAGATGCATCAATGGAAGACTCCCGTTTCCCTACAATTCTGCTTTGCAGAATACATGACTAAATACATGCATTGTAATACATTCAGCATGGCCGACCATGCAGCCCAGGTTCATAGAAGGTGTGTGACCAACAGCATTCCTCCAAGAACCTGTGCATGTTCACCCCTGGTACTCCTGGGAGAATTTCTATGCTGAGAAGGGACCAGGATCCAGGCCGGGGCTCTGGATTGCTGCCTTGTGTCCCAGTATAGGAGGCCTAGGCTTGCTTCCTCCACCTGTGTAGTCCTGTTGGGATTCTATAAACCCCTCAGCCTTTTATCCAAGTACCTGCGCTGGACCTAAGCCAAATGCTCTTACAGTCACAGTAGAAACAATTCCCGGCCTACTAAGAGAAGATGGTATAATAAATCTGTTGACGAGTGTTGAACCAGTTGGAATTCTGCAAAAACTTCTAGATCTACCTTGCAGGAATCCCTGCAATGAGACACAATGTATGCCCTGCATTCACAGTGTCTCCAGTTGCTCTGAATGGGGCAACAGGCAACGAATTAAAAAAAAAAAAAAAAAAAAAAAAAAAAAAGACTCTCTGAGCTATAGGCAACTGCCTAGGCTGCCTTGGACCTAGGCAATGTTACACTGCTGGGAGAAAATCAGCACTAGCCAGTCTGCACAAAGTTGACGGGAGTGACTGGCCAAGCCAAGCTGTACCACAGAACTCACCTAATGGGTACCCACCTGACGGGAACCCACCTGACAGGAATTCCTTGATAATCTGGTTTCATACGTATAAGGGTTCCCCCCCACGTGCCTTCGTCCTCATTCTCCCCCTACCTCCATTCTTTCCCCCCCATATTATTACAATAGTATAATCCTTCATCAACAGTCACAAGTCCAACAATCTGCTATTTAAGTGTATCATAGCATTGTAGGGTAGGTACAAGCAATGGAGGAAATCTGGTATCATATTATCAAGGTACATTTAATTGTTTCATAGGTGTCCTTTCATTTGGAAGTAGAGGTTAATACCATACAGTATCTTCACTTCCCAGTGTACTACTCTCCATTCTACTCTTAACGTGTCCGTCCTCTTCAGTTGGGGAACAAAACACTCTAGAATGCTGGGATCTTCTGCCTGAGTCTGTTCAAAGTCTTTGGCTGGCCAATGAGGACAATCCCAGGCAAGACAAGGTCCCCATCAACAGGCAAAATGAACAGGTCCTTGGAGATACTGCTCACAGCTCCTTTCTGAATGCCACTTAGTTCTACAGCCTCAGCCCACAGCACCGGCTCCAGGAGACTGAGGAGTGACCCTATCTTTCTCAGAAGAACAGTAAGGCCTAGAGCAATTAACACATGGCCAAGAAAATGCTAGATCTCTCCAAAGTACCCGGCTTCTGATCCAGGATCCTTTCCTTCATTCTTTCCAGCTCTCTCTCACGAGGGTCCCATCTCAGGTCACCTTGCCACTCCTTGCATCCTTCCAGCCTCCTGACCACATGGTGTTGTCACTCCAAAACACACACACACACATATCTGAATGAGGTCGTATCCTATCCGTTGGCCTGATGCCCTCCGGAAACACAGAACCACAGAAGCAGCACAGGACTTCTTATCCAAACAGGAACCTCAGAAATGAAGCCCAACATTACTATACAAAAGCAAGATGAAAGAACAACAAACGAAAAATATTAACTCAGCCAGGTATTCTGCCAGCGCTAATAAATGTTTAAACTATTACAACCCCACCTAAATGGCCCTTTTGCATACCCTCTGTTTATAGCCTTCCCAGCATTTAATATTGTGTGTAAGTATGGAGTTTGTCTCATTCAGACCTTCTTGGAGGAGTGTGACCTCTTTGAGAGCAGGCACCTTGCTCTTTTATGTTCCCTTAGAGTGTGGCCTGGGAGGGCAGACTCAGGTATCTATCTCCTCAGTCAGAAGCAACCAGAGCCCATAGGAGTTAGGTGCCTTGTCCAAGGACCAGTCAGTTTCTGGCAGCGCCAGAGGTGAGAAATCCTCGTCCATCTCCAGGCCTGTACTCCCTGCTCCAAAGGGACAGTCTTCCCTGCCTATACAGACTGCTCCTGCTCTAACGCAGCTGAGCGTCCTGCTGACTGGGATTACGAATGTGACCTGGGTGAAAGTGTTTGCCTCACTTAGCATGGAACAAAGCAGCATTAACTGCAGTGGCAGGAACAGCCCCTGATTCCAGGGCACACACTCAGCAAATGACCCACTAAAGGCTCTGGGGGAAGGGAGGCGAATGAGCAAAGCTGCCCACTTGGGAATGTCCCACAACCCACTTTGAGGTCTGCTCTGTGCTATCTGGGTGTGGGCATGTAGAGGGACCCAGTGGAAGGACGTGAAGCACCCAGGGACCCTGGGCAGCACCCTTCTTCTCCATAGCCAGTGATACACAAGCTTTGAGATAGATCCACTCCCCCACCCCCCTAACATTCACACTTGCTTCCTCACACCAGACAGGCTTCCAAAATGCTTGAAATGCAGCTGCACACCATGTCTTTATTTATTTGTAGCCTAAGAGGAATGAGGCACTTATATTTCTTCCTCTCCCTCCCAGTCCATCTGAAAAAGGAAGCACTATTTGAAGGCCATCTGATGTGACTGTGTCACTATTGATCAGTAGCTCAGCAGGGGCCTGATGAACGTGCTGGAGATCATAGCAGATTCCTTCCTGCTCCTCAACATGAAGCAGCTGGGTGCAAAATAAACGTGGTAGCTTATCTTTATGCTAATGCCACACAGTCTCTAAAAGGGACAGACAGACAGATGGAATCACCCAATGTGACCATGCAGAGCTGAGACAGTTTGGCATGATGAGTTTTCCTTATTATAACAATCTGAAAGATGCAGTAAAGAGGAGAGGAAAAAACAAACAGAAAAACTGTTCTGGCCTTTCAGCTATTAGCTCCTGAACAAAAGCCTCCAAGGGACGATGGAAATCTCCGGTTTGTATAACAGGCAGTCATGGGGCAAAGGCAAAACTAGCAATCTGGGTAGCCAGCACTTATGCCACATCTACCTGGGATGCTTACTTGGCCAACAGGTTGCTTCTATGGAATGAAAAGTTAGAAGGAGAAAGTTACAAGCTATAATAAGAGGCTGGGAGAAACACTAACAAAAATTTGTACAGTGATTAAATCACCTCTAAAACAATCGAGTAAACAGAACACCTCAAAATCAATAAGGAAATCAAACCCAACAGCATGGCTTCAGTAGCCTTAGCCATTAATTGACCCAAACCTGCCCTTAATAGAAGAGAAAACTTGGGCTCAGAGAAAGAATGGAGACATGGCTTGTGAATGGCCAAATAGAGCAAGCTGGGCCCCTGCTACCCTGTGAGGCCACACTGCTGCTTCAGCAGGAAACAAGCCATCAGGAGGACCAAGCCAAAGCCCCACAAAGGCCTGGTTCACTGAATTAAGCTCAAACTGGATGAGGAAATCTGTGCACATGCACACAAATAGAGACGAGGTCAAAAGCAAACCAAGGAAAAATTACAGGGCACCGTGACTTGCAGGAAAAGGACA